CTAGATCCCTTGAGAAATACCTGCATTTCTGGCCATCACACTGCAGTTCTCAAGAGATTTGCTTTATGCTTTTTCACACTGGCCTGGTTTGGCTGATTTCCAGCTCTGTTTGAATGGTCTTCTGGGGGAGCAGAATCTTCTGTATCATTCAACGGTACTCTGTAAAGAGTCTCAGTGTAGAAATAGGCTTTAAACCAAGATTATTTATTTTTTTAATTGAGCTCACCATCTATCCAGTGCAGGGAGGGAAGTGAATGACTTCTGAACCATTGCTTTGCTGAAAGTTTTAAGAAGAACAGCTATAAAAGAATCTAAGACCAGAAGCAGATACTGATTCTAGTCAGGCATTTAGTTTAAGTTGGTACAGCATTCAAAAGAATAATTTTTCACATGGAGATAAAGGAAGATAAGATATTAACTAACCAGTTTATAACTTAAAATCCAGGCTCAAGGATCAGATTAAATTACAAGAAACAGATATTGAGGATTAAAAAAAAAAAAGCATAAAACATTTCCAGGATAAACTAATGGATCTACATCTTCTGGTCATGTAAAGAATTGGAAAATTATATTAGAAAAAATGAAAGGAAGAACACTAGCAGACAGGTAAAGAAAAGGAAGCATTAGGTTTCTTTAAGAAAAATGCTGCCAGCCACCTGTGTGACTACAGGGCTGATATTTTAAATTTCTGAGGAAGTATTTGCTTTTGGTAACTTCAGGTGTTTGGGTGTTCAGGTGTTTTGTGATGTGTTTTTTACAATTTTCTAGAAAAGGAGATTATGAAGTTAACACAACTTAATACACCTAGGAAGGACCCTGTGTCAAGTTTTCAGAAATTTTCTCTCATGCAGATGCAGCTTAACTGTAATGCTTGCAGATTTTGCAATGAATTTTGTTTAATTTCTCATTAATTTTTATTTAAATGTAATTCTATTTATTTATTTATTTAGCTGCGTTATTTTTCCCCTCTATACATTTTGCAAATGCACAAATACCAAAACAGAGAGGCATGCCTTGGGCCTGCATGAGATGGAGCTGCAGGCCGTACCTTGGTGACTGGCTTTCAGGTTCTCTAATTAGAATTTGTTCTATACTCTTATCTCTCAACCTGGCACCTTCCATTCTCTCTTATCTTCCATGTATCTCCCATTCTCAGGTCGGTACCTGACCAGACAATGCTGATTGCTGCTTAGGTCTCAGCTGGACTTCAGCTTTTAAGTAGAAACAACACAGGAATATCTGTACATGCAGTGACAATTTTCTGGAGAATTGTGGATTTTGCACTTACAGTTGAAACTTTCATTCATTGCTAGGGAGTATCAGATCCTTCAATTACCACCATAACCCAAGTAACATCTTCCTAGATTTCCCAAACTCTCTCAAGGTCAGGCTTCTTTTCTCCCTGTATCTCAGAAGGCACATTCAACTTTCTCTAATTAAACTGTCACCTTAATAATACCTTGGCTAAAAGCCAATAGATGAAAATTCTTCAGGAACTAATCTTTTTAGAGGATTATATCAGATTAAAGCTCCATCCTGTGCTAAAAGACTTTGGCATACCTTCTAAACTATTAGTGCTTGCAGTGATTTTAGAATATGCTGTTGCACTTATTAACATATTGCTGTAAGTAAAAATGTAGACTTAAGAAAGAATGGAAAGTGTTTATGATGGTTAGCATTCCTGGGTCCTGTGTGTAGCTCATACAAGGATAGGTAAAGGGTGATTTCATAATACTGAATGTATTGTTTTACCAGCTGAGATCTGGAGTTTTATCAGTTATAAGAAGTTAGACTCAACAGATTGTGCGTCTGAGAAGTGTTCTGACTTTGGAGAACTTGCATGTTCCTGCAGAAAACAAATGAAATGCATGATATTTTTCAAATACTTTATTTTGCAGGTCCTTCATAGTCACTGACAATGTAAACTAAACAAGGAAAGTCAGTGAAACTTCAGAAGCATTAACTAGATTGAAAATCCAGTTGTGCCAGCTGTGGTCTAAATCCATGTAAGCCAAAATTAATGGCTTGTCTCTGAAAAGGCTCAATTTTCAAAGATTCTGGGCACCTGCTACAAATGTTCAGATCCCATTAATTTGCTTTAATTGATCTACATTAAAATAGCTAAGGAACATATACTGAATGTATTGATATTATTTTAATGACAAAGCTATATTTCTAGAAGTTGTAGTAAACTGGGTAGTTTTGTAATATTGACAACAATTCTCTATCTGCATTAATGGGGCCGTGTGACCTGGGTTTTTTGATAGAAGGACTGTAGAGGGAACAAGAGAATTTCGAGTAAGGGAAAGAAAATATTTTTGGACATGTATTTTGAAGTGCTGTTGTGAGTATTGTTACAGGAAGCAGGCAGACTGCCAACATAGCAGACTTTTGCATTTTTCTTTTAGTTTGTGAAGACTGACTACATTTTGAACAAGCAGTCTTTACCTTTTTCCTCCTATACTTCTCAACTTAAAAAACAAAACAAAACAAAAAACAAACAAACAAAAAAAAACAACCCCAAAAACAGAAAAGAAATGGTCTTCTTATATTTTGTATTTGATACATTAAAAAGTAAGCCAGCTTTTCTCAAGTGGTAATCCAGCTATTACTTCTATTATGGGGACATTTTTTCTCCTGTGATGCCTTTTGTAAGTTTCAGTTATGCCAAGTTCATTAATTTTGTAATGCTCAAGACCTGTTTTTGTCTCCTTTGAGTATCCTGCTGTCTCAGGAAGGAATAGAAAGAAGTTCATCCTGGGCTTTCTGTGTGATGTCTGTGAAACAGATCAGCCCATTCCCACCCTCAAGAGTCAAAAATCCAGGTGGCCATATTAGCTTTCTGCCAACCAGTTTATACTATCCTACCTGAACATCTGAAAACTCAATCTCTCTCTCTTTCCTTCGATGTGCAGCTTATAGTAGCAGCTTGGATTAGAAATTAGATTAGAAATTTGGAGAATTGTCTGCCAGCACCCTGAACATCCAAACTGAGGGTGAGAGGAGTGGATTCTCCAACAGTGGAACAAGTCCAAGACTTCCATATGAAACTGAATGTATGTAAGTCCGTAGGGCCAGATGATATGCATCCCAGGGTTCTTAGAAAGATGGCTGATGTGGTTGCTGAGCCTCTCTCCTTCATATTTGAAAAAACATGGCAGTTGGGTTAAGTCCTCAGTGACTGGAAAAAGGGAAACATTGCTCCCATTTTCAAGAAAGGGAGAAAGGATGACCTGAGGTAATACAGGCTGGTGATCCTCACCTCCATGCCCTTGGAAGTTCATGGAGCAGATCCTTCTGGTTACTACGCTATGGCACATACAAGATGAAGAGGTGATCCAAGACAGGTGATCCAGGGGCAGATCTTGCCTGGCCAAACCGGTGGCCTTCTATGATGGACTGACAGCATTGGTGGACAGGGAAGAGTGATGGATGTCATCTATCTGGACTTCTGAAAAGCCTTTGACATGGTCCCTCACCACATTCTTTTCTCTAAATTGGAGAGGTATGGATTTGAAAGATGGACTGTTTGGTGGATTAAGAACTGGTTGGCTAGACGCAGCCAATGGGTTATGATCAACGTTTCTATGTCTGGGTGGAGGTCTGTCACAAGTGGTGTCCCTCAGTGGTGTCCCCCAAGGACTAGGTGCTCTTCAACATCTTTATCAGTGACATAGTTAATGACCTTGAGTGCATCCTCAGCAAGTTTATAGACAGTACCAAGCTGAGCAGTGCAGTTGATATGAGTAGTGTAGTATGATGTGAGGGGAGGGAAGCCATCCAGAGGGACTTGGACAGGCTGGAGAAGTGGGCCCATGTGAACATAATGAAGTTCAACAAGGCAAAGTGCAAGGTGTTGCAGTTGGGTCGGGGCAATCCTGGGTATACACACTGGGAGAAGAACCAGTTGAGAACAGCCCTGTGGAGAAAGATTTGGGGGTCGATGAGAAGATGGACATGAGCCAACAGTGTGTGCTTTCAGCCTGGAAAGTCAGCTGTGTCCTGGGATGCATTAAAAAAGGGGTGGCCAGCAGGGAGAGGGAAGTTATTGTTCCCCTCTACTCAGCTCTTGGGAGGCCCCATCTGTAGAACTGTGTCCAGGCCTGGGGCCCCCAGTACAGGAAGGATGGAGCTCAGGGAATGGGTCCAGAGGAGAGCCACTAAGATAATCAGAGGGCTTGAGCACCTCTCCTGTGAAGAAAGGTTGAGGGAACTGAGCTTGGAGAAGAGAAGGCACGGGGGAGACCTCATTTTAACCTTCCAGTACTTGAAGGGAGCACATAAACAGGAAGGGAAGTGAGGGTGGCTGGTGATAGGACAAAGGGGAATGGTTCTAAACTAAGACAGGGGAGATTTAGATTAGATGTTAGGGAGAAGTTTTCATTCAGGGGTGATGCTGCATTGGAACAGGTTGCCCACAGGTTGTGGATGCCCCATCCCTGGAGGCATTCAAGGCCGGGCTGGATGTGGTTCTGGGCAGCCTGGTCTAGTTGTTGGTGACCCTGCCCATGGCAGGAGGTTGAAACTAGATGATCTTTTCAACCCAGACCATTCTATGAATCAATATCTTTATAGATGTTGGAAGTGCAAGAACAAATACTCATAACTGCATTTTCTAGAATTAAAATTCTCTGATAGGCTTCAAAACACAAACATGTCTTTTACTGATATGGAAGATGCTCTGGAAGAACAGTGTTAGCTTAAGTTTCTCATCCTATAACAGCTTCCCCCAAGTCTCTCTCACAATTAGGAAAGGAAAATCATGGCTATGATGAGGTATTTTGATGATTAGCAGTATGTACACTGCCCCTCAAGACTATATAACTTGAAGAACCCTTAGGAGTACTGATGTGTGCTGAGGCCAAAGGACTTCAGGGAATGACAAGATGCTGAAGTCTTTGTAGATCTTCAGTCACCATTTCTCTGCTTCAAGACAGAAAGAAAATCAAGAAAAATGTGTTTAAAACAAAGGAGAATAGCAACAATTTTGTTTTTTTCAGTAAAGCTACACATCTTCCTGAAAATTCTACTCCCCTGGAACTCAGACTTCCATTTCAGAAACCATTCTGAGGTTTGGATCTTCTTGACACAAAGTGAGTGCTTTGTATTGTCTTGTAGGTTATTTTTAGTAGTTTGATTTTCCAGAATGACATTCTTAACCTTAGAATTTATGCCCCTCCTGTAGTTACAAATTGGAATAATTTGTAATCAAGGGCTGTGCTATTACCCGTACGCTGCATGTAATTCCCAACAAAGCAGCTGTCGTGACACAGTGCATTTGATCTTCTAATAACTGTGCTCTGTGTTAGAAGTTAATGTATCACAGTATTTTCTTCAAAAATTCCGTGAAGTTAAGAAGTGTAATACCAATACTTTACTGCAATGCTTGGTTTCACTCCCTGGAGTTGTATCCAAATCTGAAGTGGACTGTTGTCAGACTTACTCAAGAAACAGTTGTATGTTGTCAGAACGATAAGAAACAGTAAATCACGTCTTTCCTGTAACAATCTCAAATGTTAAAGACACAATTTATAGACAGTTGGGGAGATTAAGGCTTTGCAGATGTGAGACAGATCTTGTAAAAAAGTTGGGCAGCTGTGCTCGTGGAGAGATAGCTTCAGCTTACCTTTCTAGTATGTGAGTGGAACTGTATGCTAGCTAAAAATCAGTTTAGGTTACAGCTTCATGGTCTTTTTGTTTTTGTTTTGCTTTTTTTTTTTTCCAGACAACATAGCAATGTCATGGTTCATGAGGTCAACTGTTTGTCATGAGAGCTGAAAATATCTCCCTAAACGTTAGGCATTTGAGAAATTCTTTAAAATGCTGTTGAATTTTTATGACAATTTTTATGATCCTTTGAGAAGAATGTTTTCTGATACTTACCAGGGAAGAAATATCAAGAGTACGATGCCTTTTCATTTTGGACTCATTAGCTGAGAAATCTGTGCTACATTATCTGTATAGAAGTGTATGTTACTCAACATTTCTACTATTGATTGTAGGGAGATTTGAAGCCTTCTCCTACGCTACATTAGATTTAGTAATGCTGATAAATAATAATTCTAGTCTTTTTTTTCCTAATAAAAATTTTTCTGAAGAGGGGAAGTGAAGATGAAGGTCTTCTCCCAGATGATAGGTTATGCAGGAACAGCACAAAACAGTACTGGGGAGGGTCAGACTGGACAGTAGGAAAAAAAAATACTTATGATGAAGATGGTCAACAATGGAACAGGCTTCCTCAAGAGATGTTTTATCACAGAATCATAGAATCATAGAATGGCTTGGGTTGGAAAGGAACTTAAAGATTATTCAGTTCAAAACTTCAGTCATGAGAGGGTTACCCCTCACCAGCTTAGGCTGCCCCAGAGCCCATCCAACCTGGTCTTTTCTTGCTTCCAGGAGTGGGGCATCCACAGCTTCTCTGTGCAGCCTTTGCCAGTGCCTCACCACCCATGCAGGGCTACCTTACAGACAGACAGAAGGATCAGCTCTCCGTCAGCATGACTACACTTATTTTCCTATTGACCATCTGAGAAGTAATTGTTTCTGTTTTTCCCCACAGTTCAGCAGATCTTCCCATGTGCATCTTCAGGCTTTGGATGAGCATGTGTTTTTTCTTGCATCTAGAACCTCATCCTTCTTACAGAAGTGCTGACTGAGTGAAGATCAGTGTACTCCTCACAGCAGTAGACATTGTATTAATTCAGGACATTGCTTATTAATGTAATTTGAAATAAAAGGGGAGATCACTCTCTTCTTGTGTGTTCTTGTCTATCTTATATCTCTGGTGTTTTTCTTTGCAGGTAAAAGCCAGGAAAGAAATAAACTGATTGTTACTATATCCTGTTAAAGAAAGCTTACAAGCAACAGCTGAATGAGCACCTTTACGTCAAGTCAGGGCTGTGAGATTGCAGCTGACAATTAGGGAGGTATAAACTGTACTTACGTTTAATTCACAGGAAACAGAGCATTCTGTTTCCTGTGTGGACAGATGTTGAAATAAGAAGTTAGTGTATGCACAGAAGGCGTATCTTCTCTTCAGTGCTCCAATGTTTCTCAAGAAATCTTTTGTAATTTTGTTTTACTCTTTAGAGAATGTGACAGCAGATCACAGTACAGCACAAATAGACCATTCATCTCAGTGAATTGGAATCCATGTTTCAGTAAGCACAAATACAAACATACAAATTACCGTCATCCACATGGCTCAGAGCAGACGAGCACTCATTCCAAATTCTTCTGAAACTCTAAAAAATCCAAGGACTAGTATGGGTCAGAAAACCAGGATTTTATACATCTCTGATAGTGTTACTGTAGTTGAAGGACTTTCTTTTTTTCCTAGTGTTTTTTTTCTTAAGCAAATGCAGCCTGGAGTGTAAAGTGTTACACATGGTATAGCTTTGAGTTTCATTCTAACTTTCAACAGTCAGTGTTTTCTTCATCTGCCTTTATGCTGTGCTACAGGAATATTTACTGGTTTTCTTTTATACCATTGATATTTTCCTTTCAGTGTGAGGGTTGAACTCAGCGTCCTTGATCATGCAAGAGGAGACGACATGCCATGCAGTTACATTCACAGTGGAGTTGACCCCTGGTTACATAAAGCAGCCACCAACCTTTCTCCTCACCTCCCTTTTGCTTGTAGCAATGCTCCTGTGGCTGAAAACCTTTGCGTTCTCAATGCTTAAAAATGCCTTTAGCTTTAAAATACTGAGGTGGGAATAAAGGTGCTTTGATCCATCCCATCCGTCCCTGGTAATTCTGAGAAAGGTTACTTTGCATTGCAGCCTCTGTGTTTTTTAAGTGTGTGCTGTTGAGCTCTTGGGATACACTAACGAACCAGAGTGGCAGAAAATCTCACAGAGGGTCCCAGCAGACACTCATAACTACAAATCTGATTTAAATCTGGGGACAGAGGCTGGAGGGGTATCTTGAGATACTGTGCCACTGCTGGGATTTAGCCTAGACCCTTCCTCTTTCCTGTGGTTCTGAATGGGGATAAAAAAAATTGAATACTCGTAGCAACAGCAACAGTCAATGAAACAAATGTGTATTAGATTGAGTACTTAAAACTTTCATATACAATAGGACTTAGAACCACATTCAGCCAAACATTTGAGTTTCTAAAACAGATCACACTTGTAAACATGCAATATACATCACAAAAAATCAATAATTCACTTAAGTTTAATTTCATGGTCTGTCCCAAAAAAAGGATCAAATCTGCCTTGATGTTATCTTTGGGAAGAAATGAATCATATCTGTTTTTCAGTAAGGATTCTCTCTCCCTTTTTTGTGGGGATAAACTGGAACTGAAAAGATTTTAGCTCAGAAGTCTTTCTCTTGTCTTTAATGCACACAGAGTTTGTGTGCATGTGTCTGTGTGAGTGCACGCAGCAGACAGGCAGCCAGCAGAAGTGGGAAGAAAAAATGAGCAAACGCTATTAACAGGGGCTCAGTTTCTAGTCCCAACAGACTTAACTAGCAGAAGGGGAAGCGAAGATCCGGGGGCTGGCTGCCAGAGAAGCACTGCTGAGTGTAAACACTCCAAAGCATTGGAGTGTCCTTATCATAGGCAGCCCGAAAGCAGTTGTGCTCTGGGGCTCTGCAGCCAGGAGCAATCCTGCAAGCAAAGAGTGTTTACTGTTGATTATTAGGACAAAGGAAACTACAGCCAAGCTGACCAGAAAGACTGGAATTTCATCTCTCTCACTCTGTCTTCCCCTCTGTCGCCCACTCGTTGGGTTTCTTTCCTGCCAGCTTTTAAAACCAGAGATTACTGGGTCAGTGACACTCATTCCTTTCATACAGCATGATCTTGTGCTCAGCCTCCTGAAGTAATACTGCTACCTGTAAGTATCTGCTTCAAGTTTGTCGAATGCTGTGAATACTATTGTGTTTGTGCTTGTAATAGTCTTGAATGGCTTACTGAATGCCTCAGTGAGGCACTCGCTCGTTTTTGTACTTGGAGTGGCTGAAAGCTCAGTTCCATGAGAGGGAACAGGCGCTGGGTTTCGCTGGTTGTTTGTGGCTCCAAGTAACTTAGTTTACACTAAGGTTTGAGTTGATACAGATTTCTAGCCTACGCTGGCTGTCTTCCATCAGCACTAATAAAACTTTATGCTTTTACGTTTTATAAAAGCTTGGAAACAGTTAGTGAGCATTCCTATATTACAACTGTCTTTTTAATAAAAACACACTGAGGGAGAGAAATGTGATACACAGCACTGAAAAAAAAAAAAAAAACAACATGAAATCCCTCAGTATGGAAGATTTTTTTTTTTAATGAGTGCTTCAAAATTGTAGACTTTTATTTTGCAGCAGGTATCTGTGAGAGCTTTCACATGTTTGTTCGTATTTAGACAGCTGACTTTATTCATTTGAATTAGATGGATATTCACAGATTGTACGTACGTGTAAATGTTTACGTGCTTCTGACCACACAAAGGCATGCTTGTGGTCTTTCTGTTTCTTGCTCACTTTTATACACTTGTAATTAAACTCTGAAACAGCTTTTAGAGATTAGTTACTCTCACTGTGCTGTGCTGAGATACTTCAGCAAGTCCTGTAGGCAATCATAGATAGTTTCTTGAAACAGTTACTGAAAGGGTATTTCAGAAATTACATTTTCTGCAGTTCATAGAATTGCAGAAGTTCATCATCTCAGCTCACTCAGGACTTCATGCAAAATGCATCGCTGCTGTTGGCACGTGCCCCTGTGTCCATGGGAGGCAATGACACTGCAAACCACCTGCTGCTTGAGCAGCAAAAGTGTGCACACACCTGTAGAAGTCATCTCAACTCATTTCTCTTACTTGGGTGTTATTGCTGTGGGCCTGCCAACATTTTTGTTACAGTTCTTCCCTGGTATTTATTTTGCATGCAAACATGAGTGCGTGCACCTTGCTTAAAGAAAAAGCTGGTTTGCATTGAGGCACCTCAGAGTTTGAAAATTTTCTTCAGCATAGATCCCTGCTCTGAGAAAAGTTAGGCAAATGTTCTGACAATGAATAAAAAGCTTCTTAGGCAGTGATTTGAATTTTTAATAGGAGTTGCTCCAGGCCTTTTTCCACATCAAATTAATTTTCTGCGGTCCCTGAAGGATCTGCTGTAATAACGTTTGTGATATTAACTACAGCACAACAGAAGTGAATTTATTCATGGGGAAAAGAAATACTGACCAACTCATCAGTCTATCTAACAGTGAATTTAGAAAGCAGCAGTAACATGTAGTAACAACAGCACAGTAACACAGCACTAACTGATTAGCACTACTTTAAAGGTGGAATCTGCTTGATTATACCTGCTGAAAGGTTATACCTGCATTAAGGTAGGCTTCTCCCATTTTCTGAGGCTCTGTGGCTGTGATTGTGTCCCCTGATTAACTTCCCTTGAGCTAATGAAGGCTGTGAGTGCTACAACTGCTGCAGAAAGGGTATCCATGCAGAAATTCATGGTTTCACAGCTTGCGGCATTACATCTTCACAATGATGTGACTGCCTTTTGGGCAACAGGGCAAGAGGCCTGAACAGGCTGTCTTTGGGAAGTTGCTATCCCAACTGCTATCACTAGCTGCTATCGTTGTGAACAGCATGTCAAAGAACTCTGATAGCTGGCTGTGAAGATAAGCCTTCGTTAGACTCTGATTTTCTGACTAATGTCACCTCCAGTTCCCTGAAGACACTGTATCACCAGATGAGCCCACAGGCTGTAGCTGTAGCATGCAGGCATCCAGAATGCATAAAGATACACTCTTATTAAAGAAAACTCTTAATAAAAGAAGAACTTTGTGATTTTGCAGCAACTTCCACTCACTCCACTTTGGAAACTGAAATTGATATCTGCCATAAATCCATTCTTTTGCCCTTGGATATCTAAAAACATGAGACTGTCTCTTTTTGGAGAGACAATGGATTTGGATTTTTCTCCCAGATCATAGCAGCAATTTAGATGAAAAGCTCAAACAAACCTTAAAGTTAAACATGTCTAAGGCATAAAATGTTTAAAGTAGAGAGATTAATTCTGTTTGTGGGAAAGTGTAAACCACACCATCTACCAGCTGTTAAGATTTAAGCATTCAAAAAAAAAAAATCCTCTGTGCAGCATGTGCAGAAGATTGCAGCTCTTTCTCAGTAAGCAGCAGTACACCCCTGAGCGAGCTTGTCCTTGTGGAGAGTGGTCTGTGAAATCCTCTTTTACAGAAATTCAGAACTTTTTCCATTAAAATCAAGGCTCATCATTCCTGTCAACCCAAAAAACAGACAACTACTAACAGTGTGTAAAAACATTGAAACCTCTCCCCATGGACTTTCATCCATAAAAGCTGGAGTTTGTAACCCCTCTGCCATGCTGTTGCTCAGCAGTGTGAGGCACAAGGCCAGGCATTACCACACAGAGTGTGTGGTATCCATCAGCAGATACATACTGCTGTGGAGACCTGCAGTGTGTTGGTGGTGCTGCATTTCATCACCACTTTTGGATAACTGTTTTGCAGAAGTATCAGATCTTGCAGCTCATGGTGCAGTGCAACAAGGTCAGTGTAGTACAGTCAGACACAGGCTCCTGTTCCTGTCTGTCGCACAGGAGGCTTTTTCTGTTCCTGTTTAGTGGGCTTTCAGGCCAGGGATGTGTTCACCCCCTGGTGGAGCTGTCCTGCCACGAGCAGAGCTCCTCTAGTGACTCATGTTTGAGATCTGGCCATAGTTTGCAAAGGCCATGAAAAAGAATGAGGCTACAGAGCTAGAAGCTGTGTGTTATCAAAAAAGCAATGAATGCAATACCCTAGTTTTTCTTTCAGTTGACAAATTCATGACTTGAGCTGAGGCTAAGAGTTTTACCTTGCAGGACAGAGTACAGTGCTCATTGACTAGTCCTAGGCTGCTTGTTGTGTATGTCCTGTTTCTCTTCTATCCATTGCTAGTTGCTTGCTAAAATGAAACATCTCTTGTAAGTTAAAATCTCTTGGGAAATTCCCTCCTTTCACCTTTCCATGGTTGCCATTATTAGAGGTGTTTTTAATAATCACTTTCAAGTTTATTTCTTTGCGGACCAGGGAAAACTATTCTTCCACCTACTTGTTGTTACAGATTGCTTTTCTGTGAGGAAGAGTAGTTCTTGTTCCCTCTCTGCAGTGCATTTGATTGTATACAAAATCAAAAGAAAGGCTAATCTAGCCATTTGGTTTTACTGTTTACACAAGTTTTCTGCTAGTTTTTATCCTGTCCCATGACTGAGAATCTCCAGTATCAATCTCTCCCTCCTCTCCTTCATATTTAAATTTAATTATTAAGTATTGTCCTGCTGCAGCAGAGGATAACAGAGGAGCATCTGGACATGTCTGGACGTGCTTTACATCCTGCACATTTCTAATTTCATGAAGAAGGATCTATTCATTGACTGCAGTGAAACACTTGTTTCCTTACTTTCCAGAGAAAATGCAAAGGTTTTGTCCAAACAAAAAAAAAAAAAAGAAAAGAAAAAAGAAAAAAAAAGTATATGGCACTAAGAAGAAAACTGCCACCTAACATTCATTAAATCAGCAAGTACCTTGTTCAGTATTTCGTTTGGCTGTGGCCTGTCATCTTTGATTGTAGTTTGTGGAATAGAGATGTTAAATAACAAACATTTGAAGGAGGTCATGGATTAACTGCACATTCTGAAGTGGCAATCCCCCAGTTAAACATTTTAGGGTCCTTTAATTGCCATGGGCTAACTTTTAATTGCCATAATAACAGTAATCTCTGTTTCCTAGAATGTGTGCAAGGCCACTATTTGTTTTCTTTAATCTTTCCTTTAAAAAAAAAAAACAAACAAAAAGCAACCAGTGGTCAATCTTGTTCATTAAAATAAATCAGGCCAACTCCCCACCCACAACAATTGTCCTCCTTTCAAGCTTTGCGAAAAATGAGGGTGATTTTGAATGTCATTCTTGAGTAAAATCTCTCAGGCAGCTGGAGGTTTTGTTACACAGAGAGAAACTCTTGAAGTCTCATCCAAATCTCAATGATGATTTTGGATGTCATTGCTGTTCAAGTGATTAAGCTAGTAAACAAGCTAGTGATTACACATTTTTTTAGTTAGATTTCAGGTATTACAACTGAGAGCTGCTGGTGTTTTTTTCTGATCTCATTTTCAGTTCTACATTAGTAGATGTCTCTCCACATCTACTTTGGGATTAGACTGTAACTACATGCCATTAGCTTTAATTACATTCTTCAGAATCAGACTCAGGATTTATAACTTTAAATAAGAATTGCCTGAAACTTTCATTGATATTTACATTCTTTAAAGTAAATTCTATTCAGTGGTACATCAATGTACCATTGCAGTGGTACATACATATTTTTGAAAGATTATCTAGAAGACCAGTTCTACTTTGACACAGCTGGATGGGTCCTACACAGATTTATGTTCTCTCCACAGTCTGCTGTTGGAAGAGCAGCTAACATTCCATAACTTACAGATAATTTTAGGGACTTATAGTTTCCCTTTCCTTCCCTTCCTCTCTCTTCCCTTCTCCTCTGAAAGTCAGTTGTATTTGGTGAGAACACTTATGTTTGTAATTAACCACTGCAAAATGTTTCACATATGCACCAACAGCCCTAAAGGAAAATAACTTTAGTATTTGTAGAAAATGTTTAACAAATGGTATCTGAAGTTCTCTGTCACTCTCCACTAAATTGCCTCCAGTATGCTCTGTTCCTCCTTTAGCTCCTCAGAGTCACATCCATTGGCTTTCCAGAGTTTCCCTTTCCCTCTGCCTTCTTACTCAGGATCATTTGAAGAGCAGGGAGAGGATTCCACTGATAGATGAGAAGCTTTTCAGAGCCCCCTTGCTGAGCATCCCTTGTGC